AAATTAAGAGCTTAATACATTTTAATCTAATAACATCAAAAACTAAAATGCAATAAAAATTTCAATTTTGTTAAAAAGTTCCCGGAACCTGATTTTCCTAGCAATCGACCCATATGCTATTACGATTTTTCATTAAATAAAGTCACGTGATAAAAAATTTTACTTTAAAAAAATCATGAGGTTTGTAAAAATTGAGGCGGTCGGGTCATGAGAATCTAAAAATTTTTTTTGCCCGGCCTAATATATTATTTGCTTAAGTTTAAACTGAGAAAATAATTACAATTTGATGTTTATAGGAGATAGTATTATTTGTTAATGCTGAATTGAATTATTAATTATTATGAGTAATTATTTATTTTGCTCATTAAATTAAGTATGAATTATTTTTAATTGAAACAAAAAAAAATATTTTTTCCCATTTTGGGGCTATAATAATTTTTGCATCATCTACTGGCTTGTGATAAATAATTTGTTTGTAAACGCAATTTTATTGTAGAAATCACATTGATCTCATGCACATGAGTAAATTCTAGTTTCATGATAAGGAACAAATTTTAACAAATAATTTCTTCACTTGATTCGGATTTATTTTCAATTTGTTTAAGCGCTTCGTCTAAAATAGAATAAATATAAATTGAATCACATTTATTATTTGCTGAGAATGAAGTTAAATCGTAACGTAATAAAGTTTTTTACATACTCATCTCTTCTTTGGTCATATTCTTGACTGTATTATCTATTTATATATATTTTTATAATAAAAGAGATAAATCAATATGTTAAATATATCAAATTATTTAACGAAAATATACACACGTACCCAAATTTTGAATCATGATCATCGCATCGACCTTCGGTTCATTTTTCCCCACATTTAGAAGTGCAAAGTTGAAATTATCGTAAGAGCGACTTACATGATACGCTTGTGGGTGAGATTTTCTAATAGGAACTTCATCTTTTTCCAAACCAGCTGAGATATTAGCTTCTCTCTGTAATAAAGCTTTATCGTATTTCCAAAATTCTTTAACATCATTTTTTAATTGGTCATCATTAAATTTCTCGGTTATAACATCAATATTTTCTTCAATAAATTCATAAATGTTTCCTTCGATTATTCCATTCAGTGGCCGAGGTTTTTTATGATATAAAAAGATATGTTCCTTCCAATTTTCAAAAATTTCCCTTATATCAAATGCTGTTGGCCTTTTAGAAGGATCAGATTTCCAACACTTTTCCATTAAATCAATGTAGCATGAAGGAGTATTTTCAATTATTTCCGGACGGTCACCACCGCCGATTTTAAGGATCAATTCACTGTCGTGAGCTTTGTCATCATATGGAGGGAATCCGGACGTGAATTCCCACATGATCATGGAAAAGCTGTAAATATCACTTGCCGAGGTATATGGTTTCCCATTCAATACTTCGGGCGCCACGAAGGGCAAAACACCATAAATTTTATTTTTCGTAGAAGTTTTGAAATATTCTGCGGGTTTACATAATCCCAAATCACAAATCAACGTATTATAAAAATGTATTAAGATGTTACCATCATGAAAGTCAGTATGAATAAGTTGTAACTCGTGTATCGATACAAGTCCACTTAATATTTGAGTCAAGTATTCAAACTTCTCAACCCATCCGGCTTTTACCATATCAGGTAAACGCTTTCTTAAACTCCCATCACGCGCGAATTGCATTACTATCATATAATCTGAATTAGGATCTTTGGTAATTCCATACAATTGAATAAGACGGCTTAATCCCTTGGAGCACATATAATGATATTCCCACTAAGAAAATATGGATAATTTAAGTAATTTATTTTTAAAGTAATAATATCAAAATTAAATATGAACATCATACCTCCTTTAAAAGTTCATAATTATCATTCAAGGGACTATTGAATTTTTTAAGAATGACTTCATAACCTTTTATCTTCGTGTTTGAATTAACAATTATTTCTTTAGTTAATCTATACCGTTCAAACTCATGTTCCCATTCAAAGATAGGCCCATCCAACCAGATAGCCTTGTAAATCGAGCTATAACCCCCTTTATCGTAATATTCAATATTTGTCAACCTATCATAAGGTATCCATTCTAATAAATCTTCAGTACGATTTGCATTCAGTTGTGTCTCTCGAATAAATTCGTCAATTAGTTCACTTCCACTATTCCAATTTAGAAATTCTTGTCGAAATCGTTCACCATTACATTTTTGACACCATAGGTTTCCCGTATATGGTTTATTACAACCAGGGCATAATTCATTGTTACCGTCTTCTACATAATTATTTTCAGAGATAGAATTCAATTCTATATCATCATTTTCAGGGGCAGAAGTTGATTCAACATTATTATTTTCGGAGGAAAGGTTTGGTCCCAGATTATTATTTGTCGAGAAAGAGTTTACATTGGGGTGACCACTGATTCGATTTGGATCATTAGAAATATTAGATATTACTTCTTCTTTATTTCGTTTCGACTTATAACAGGTTGAAATTCTATTAAAATATGAGGAATTCGGAAAAAAATAAAAAAATATTAGCGAATTCAATATGTAAGTGTAATGGAAATAAAGTCACTCACATGTTTCCACACATGATACACAATGATTCCAAGGAAGAAAAGATAGATTATATTTTCAACCTTTATATAATTTTTTGTTTGTAAGAATTTGGTAATGATTGTCATAATATTTACTTTTTGTTTGCCAAATCTGGTATATAAATTAAATAGTACATCATAACCAATCGATTTCTATTAAACTCAAACATTAGCCTCAAAAAAGATAAAATAATTTAATTTTAACTTTGGCCGAAATTGAATTTCGTCCAGAATTAAGATTTGTGTGATTGCAAAAAAGTTCATTAGCTCTGCCTAAATTTAAAGTTCCGGCCTGAGTTAAATTTAACCGGTTAAAAGATTTCTTAGACTCTATCAAGGAACGATCTGATGCCATGAAATGGATTCATTCCTCATTAAAAGAGTTAAGGATAAGATAATTTAATATTGACTATGAAATAAAATTATCTTAAATATGAGTTAAAGATAATATAAATTAAAAATTACTGTAAACAAATGTTTATTAGCATTGGAAGAGCAGAAACCATATAATTTACTTACTGAGAGATATTAATCTCAAAGTAGGGACATCGGAAGAAATCTGTAAGCATTTAAATAATTGTAAAAGTAAATGATGTGACTTTTTTAGAAAGGATTTATTTTTTAAAAAAAAAAAAATACTTGATTTTACATATCTTGAACGATATCCTGCAAAGCAAGAATAAGAAGCTTACCAAAAGAACGCGGTAAACTAAAAAAATGGTCCCTTTTGCATATTTTCTAGAGGGCTTAGAAATTGCAATGAGGTAAAGTCCCGAAAACTCATAAGTTATTGCGTCAAAAAATATTCTAAAAGTTGTCGATACAATATTGAAAAATATACAAATCACAATATTGATATTATTCGTAATAAAAAAATCTACCAATATAATTAACAATGTACCGTAAACAGCTGACTAATATTCCCGGGTACAATACAAATTTCATAAAATTTGCAAAATATTATCTTAATAAAAAGGCACTAACTTTACAATTAATTTTCCTCTAAAATTATACAAATAATATAGTGATATTCAGAACTTATTATTGGCATGATTTTTTCAAAATTCTATATATTACTTTTTTGCGAATAGCTTATAGTACCCGGGCATAAGTATTGGGAGGGTATTATACTATGGGGTACTTTAGTCAGCTGTTTACGGTAATGATTACGAACAATTTGGAATATAACACTCAATTGGTAAATAATAATAATAATAAATAGTAAAGTTTCCAAAGGAGCATGATACATCTACAAAGAAATATAACACCCTTTCCAAGAAAATTGATAGAGTATTATTTTGTGAATGTATAACTCATTTTTATTGATAAGTTTGCTTCGACCGTTTAAGCGTTGACAAATCATTCCAAAAAAAAATTGGAAACGAACCAAAGTTACAATTGAAAGATGGGTTGTTAATCTACTTATGAATAATTAATAAATGCGATAATTTAGGTAATTCGCGTCCCATTGGGAGATGTCATTGTTTTAAGAGATAATTGAAATTAATATAACATATACCTTTGGGTTTACATCTTAAGTTCAGATGAAGTTGTAAAATAATTATTTCAATCAATACTGATAAACACTTAATATGGACTAACAAATTTGTCAAAGTATTTGATTTTCTATGCTTTATTATTACCTTAAATTAAGTATAGAAGCGGTCAGCGAGATGAGCTATTGTTCAAACCCTTTGAATTATCAGAATTTCATTAATTATTTTTGTTATGCTTGAATTATAGCCAAACCATTCTACCAGCGAAAATAAAAATTAAGCTAAACTCACGAAATATATTATGTAAACTGCATCATTGAAAGATTCCATCGGTTTTTCCATAGCGTCTCATACTTTTATTACCCTCCCTATGACACCATATAATGATATAATTCAGGTTTAGTTATTCAACATTTGAAAAGAAAAGCATATTTGACACAGAAATAAAGTTTTTATTTTTATTTAAAATTTCAATTCTTAATAAATTAAAAAATTTATATATAAAATTAATATTTTTTTATTTAGCGTAAACTAGTTGTAAATTTTTAAAAATAAATCTTTTGGTTTTTTCAGTGACGCATTTTTTTAAAACTCACTTGTAGATCTATCATTAAGAATGCTGACATTAGTACTCCTCACATTTCTAATTATAAACTTCATTGCTTATGACACGAGCACAATGCTCATAAAATTTTGTGGATAATTCAATAAAATAGACAGTCCCATTTTCTCACTCCTATCAGCCGTGAATATTATTATATTTATCCGTATGTTTGATATAAGTATCATAAGATACCCTAGTAACAAGCCTATATGGAATACTTGACAATAAATAACAGTCAAATATTAGCAGTTAATTAGCTTGTAAAATAGCCAAGTTGTTAAAGCAACAATAAAATGACTTACATTGCCTATTTCCACTTAGCCTTTAAGTGTATTTTACCAGTTTTCCACCAGTATTTGAAATATCTCTTAAGTTCGTCAGTTTCAAAGTCATTGGAAGTAGATGTAAAAGAGGTGGTTACAAGATCTTGCATAAATTCGGTACTTTGACATGTTAACATATTTCTCAGAATAGTAAAATTATTGTTCCCATATAAAGTTATATTTTTGTGTGCAATTGGAGAAAAGAGTCCTGTTTTCATAAGTCACAGGATACTCAGCAAATTTATTGTTATTTTTTTTTGAGCATCTGTAACTTGGCAATTCAAATTTCTAGATGTCATCATTTAAAAAAGCTTAAAATTCATGACGCGTAAAATTGATTCTCACAATGACATAATTTATAGATCATTTATGCGATTATATAAACTTCTCAATATGCTTGTCATTTTTATATGCTAGTAATAAAAGAATATCTATTATGCCATATACATTGTGGATTAAAAGTTGGTGATAGAAAAGGCTAAATAATCAATACATTAGGGGAAAATGTGTTCTCTAATAAGAAGGATGTTAATGCTCTATTTTTACTACTGAGTATATATTGATACCTTAGCATTCATAGTTGAGGTTGTACATAATTATTTTTTGTTTCTGTTATTCATAATTGTTTAATTATTTATCCTTTTTTAATAGAGCTAATGATGGAAAGACTAAAATATAAGCTAGCTTAAATCCAATAAAGGACCCTTTTTGTTATCAATTTTAATTACAACGAATTCATAAAAATTGCATTTTGAAGGTTACATGTAATATCAAAGTCATCAAAATAATCATCTTTTTTTTCAATCGTTGGGACCTGAGACCTTGAATTTAAACTAATCTATAAAGTTCTTTATTCCTTAGAAAATTTTCTTATATCTCAATAGGTAACATTAACTTGGGTATCAAATACTCCAACTTGTTTTTAATAATATTATTTTTATTATTTATTATCATTAATTTATAAAATCTAGTTTTTTTATTTATTTTTTACCAATTAATTTAGATTTCAATTGCACTTTCTTTTTTTTTCTTAAGAAAGAATCCTTTAAGCATAATACATATAGCATATAAAATAATACTTCAAAGTTACATGATAATATTGATAATTTTTGTTTTGTTTATTTCTCAATTCATTTTTTTTTCAACAATATCTTTTAGTTGTAGTTTGAAAATCCAGGAGTTTTGAATGTTATTTGATAACCTTTTTTTCCTTAATAAATTTTTATTTACATTGATACCATATGAAGTCAATTCTACTGCGCCACAAAAGATTGATGAATGATCAACGTTATTAACATCATTAGCATTTTTAACTTAGTTAACATTTATATTTTATTATTTTATTCTTATATTTTATT